TTTTTTTTTTTTTGCTTTGGATATATTTATAGGTTTTTGACAAAGCCTCAGAGATAACCCTTTACTATAAGGCAGCTTTATTGTAATGAGCCTCACAGGCCTACTGATAGAAGTGTGAAAAAAATATTTCGCCCAAATTAGGAGGCCACACTATTTACTTTTGGCTTGATAACAGTTATTAAAAAAAAAATAAAAAATATGTGAAAAACACAAGGCTGTAGAGATACATGTACATATACACATGCTCATGTATCCTGCCTGCATTAAAATACTGGAAAACCTAAGTTGGTTGGTCTGTGGTGCAGTCCAGCAATGTTCATTGTCATTCATTATTTTGTTTTCTTGTTTTCTTTTACTTTTTTTCGAATCATTAAAAAAGGTGTGGGAAAAAATGGAAACGCTAAAAGATGATAGTATTTTTTTTTTTCCTCAGGTCTATGCCTTTGACCAGATTATGCCTAAAAAAGAGGAACATTCACCCATGTATACTAATAAAGAACTTTTGTGAATCATGCAAGTGGTTAGGAGAGAGTATACAATATACCCACAAACTATTCCAAAAACTTGCCCTTCAAATGTAACTACTGACTTATTAATGTATGCCCTCAATCCAGCATTTAAATGAACACTTTAGGTGGAATGACTTAAGTAGGAGTCGCCTCTGTGAGGGAAAAACAAACATCTTGAATCAAAGCGACCCTTAGAAACAGCAAGGACAGAAACCTTGACGACTCTCTTTAACTTAAAAGGTGGAGACATAAAATAATAGAAACAAGTTGAACAGTTTAGAAAATGCTGTAGGTATGCTACTAAAGCTTGAAGCAGCTGCATATTTTTTTTACATTACAGATTCCTAAAGCGTAATTCTATTCATTGAATGTTGCATAAGGAGTTCTTTTCAAAAATATTTTCTCTGTGGATTGCTCTTCTCTTGTGGCCTAACTTTTTGATCTTTATAAACATAATAAACCTTGACAGGCGACAGTTTAGCTCACAAACCGTAAACCATATTTTCACACTTTAGATACTTCTTTTGAGTATACCTCAAGGGAGGAAGGGATATGAAGGAACCGCAAATAACATAAACAAACCTTTACCCCTTCAAGATGAACTGGCACAACTTAGTCTTTCATTGTGTAAGAGTGGAACTCAACAAACAGTTCAGTTTAAAAATAAACCTCTAAATAGGTTGACCACACAGAATGAATCTTAAGAATCTATATTAATCGTCCATATAAAGACAATTACTATAAAAAGGTGCTCACTAAGTAAATTGGCACCATAAGTAAATATAATAATTTATCATAAATAAAAAAATGTTATGTAAAAATAAGATTTATAACGATTTCTAATACTTTAGGAAGAGAAAAATTGGATGAACATATATTTTGCTAAATATTCTTGCTAGAAAGTTATTGAAATTGAGCATCCTCCGTTAAAGATTTGTCATCTGATAACAGAGCTCTTTGGACCCGAAGACTGGGAATTCATAGAATTATATGCAAAACAAGGAAACATTCACCACTACAGATAAATGTCATTACTGCAAAGTGGTTTTATGTGTCATATGATTCATTCAGTGATATATCTGATCCTCTCAGATTACATAGACCAGTTATTGAAAGGCTCTCTATAGTTATGCTGCTATAGGCTTAGTCTGCTTGAGGACATGATGACCCATTTTACTCATTCTGCTTCATTCTATCTCTATTCTTAAATTTGAGTAAATTTGTTAGTTCAATCTCTAACATTATAGTCTCTCTGCTTTTCCTCATAGTAGTTTCATCTGGTCTGTTCCTTTTTGGCTGTGACTCAATCCTGGAGAGAAATAATTGCTGTTTTTCAGTGTAGTCCTGGTTCTCTGACTATATATGCTTTCTTTCGTCCTCTGACATGGGAGCTGGCTCGGAGCCCGTCTGGTTGGCTGTGTGTTTCCTGGACGGGGCCGCCTGTGGAGCTGGTTGACGGTTGTCTTTTGTATCTCAGCTTCTTTCTGTATGTCTGCTTCTGTCTCCTTGAAACCCAGCTGGCCTCAGCAGATGGCCGATCACACTGAGCCTGGTTGTGCTGGAGGTTTTTTCCTGTTAAAGGAGAGTTTTTCCTCTCCACTGTTGCTACAAGGATGCTTGGTGTGAGGGATTGCTTCCAAGTCAATGAGCGATGCAATCAATTGGTTTTCCTTAGATACAAAAAATGTAATCAATCTGGCTGTATGATCTGGTTGAATTGTCTCTTTAAAGTGCCTTATAATGTGTTGTGAAAAGGCGCTATATAAATAAACTGAATTCAATTTAATAATAAGCAGACACTACACATAGAAAAAAACACATACTTACTTACATACATACATATATATATATATATATATATATATATATATATATATATATATATATATATATATATATATTAGTTTTTATTTTTTTTGAAAGCAAAACAAAAAAAGATCTGCATGCCTTTTGTGGGTGTTTAAACAAAAAGCTTGAAAAGGACTTTTTTCCTCTGAAAAACAAAAAAGAAACCCTAATTTGGAGAGCTTCGTGATTGTCAATATAAAGCGCTCAGAAAAAAAAAGCTTGTTTTTCCCAGTTGGATATGAGTATAAACAGAGTGATTTAAAATGTCTCAATTACATTGCTAACATCTCCCCAAACATAGCCCTGCCTTATCCTCCAGCAATCAGAGAGGATTTATACGACATGCAAGTGTGAACGCTCTGACCTGATTTGAGTCAATCAATTTGCTAGTTTATTAATTCCCCATGGTGCCACGGAGTAATGATTATTCAGTGAATTTTGCTGCACAGCCAGGCATCCTTTGCCACCAGCAGGGTCAGCGAAGGGCACAGTCATTTGTTGTCAGCATGCACATCCAGCTGTCTGCTCAGCTGACACCCGATACAAATAAGGAATCATGGACAGCCAGTCATTTACTGCTTAACCTCTCATTTTTTAAATTACAGAATTTATTTTCTGTTTTGTAAGGATTAACAATATTTACTGTCATTATGAAACCGTACTGACTCATTTTGTTATCATTTTATGTAGTGACGAAGGTTTTATAGACATCTAGAGTGTGCACATGCAAGAAATACACTACAATACACTACAGTATCATATGTTCAAATAAAATCAAAAAGCCAAGAGTTGTAGATTTCATTAATTACTTTTAATTGTATATACATCTAGGTGGGGATCTGGAGATTTTGGAGGCTTTTGAAAACCTTACTTTTGTGTTAGTAATTTTT